CTTGACCTTTGACCTTGTGACCCCAAAATCAATAGGGGTCTTCTACCGAATATGGACAATCATCCTATGAAGTTTGAACATTGTGGGCCAAATGGAACTTATGTTATGCTCCCGAAACTGTTTTCAGTTTTAAGGTCATAGTGACCTTGACATTTGACCTTGTGACCCCAAATTAAATAGGGGTCTTCTACCCAAAAAATGGACACTCATCCTATGAAGTTTGAATAGTGTGGGCCAAATGGAACTTAAGTTTTGCTCCGGAAACCAAATTGCTAACTGACGGACGGACAGACGGATGGACGTTACAACATTTTGGGTTTATGGGCTATTTTCTTTGTTATTTTCTTTGTTTTCTTAAGGGCTACTAGCCCCTAAACCCTTTGATCATGGAATGAACCTATTGTTCTCTTTTGTTCTCTTTACTGTTATATAGCCCCTACACCCAAAATGTTTGCTCGGACAGACTCACAAAATGGTACTTATGTGACTTTTCGTTTGATCTTTTTGGCCATTTTTAGTCACACAAGGCTTAAAAAAAGACACACAAGTAAAAACGGAATGAATAGAATCAAAGACAATTTACTGTTACCCATTGTTCTCCAAGTCACACAAGTACCTCCGGGTTTGTACGGACAGACAGACAGACGGATGCCAGGTGGTATAACATGATATGACCGAAAGGGCATATAATAACCATTATTATTAAATATTCAGCTCTTAAATAAACTCTTGCATTTCTATTAATTGTGAAACTATAAGTCTAGTAGTTTTCGACTAGTTTAAATATTGGGCCCTGTAAGAAAACAGAATATATGCAAAGAAAACCAATACCGTCATATACATTGATAGCTTTATGGGTTTTAACCTAATCAAGTTTGTTGTTTAAGACACTTCATTGGTATCAGCTATGTTGCTACTATTTATGTCGTCATTTATATCATCACATTCTACAATATCTACAGTAAAAGCAAACAAAAACATACTATAAGAAATATTCAGGCAACAATTACTATAATTGGGCTATAATGTCATATATCCTATCTTATTTCAAAATATATCAATGGCTCTCTCAACAGGAGCACCGCTAGGCGGAGCATTATATGCCTGAAAGTACTTTAGCTGTAGGTTGATTAATGCTTGAGTTATAGAGCGAAAACTGTTTCCAGTTTAAAGGTGATAGGAACCTTGATCTTTGACCTTGTGACCCCAAAATCAATAGGAGTATTCTACCCAATATAGAAAATCATCCTATGAAGTTTGAATACTGTGGGCCAAATGGAACTTAAGGTATGATCCAGAAACCATTTTCAGTATTAAGCTAATAGTGACCTTGACCTTTGACCTTGTGACAAAATTCAAAAGGGGTCTTCTACCAATTAAGGGCAATCATCCTATGAAGTTTGAATACTGTGGGCCAAATGGAACTTAAGTTATGCTCCGGAAACCATTTTCAGTTTTACGGTAATAGTGACCTTGACCTTTGACTGTGTGACCCCAAAATCAATAGGGGTCTTCTACCGAATATGGAAAATCATCCTATGAAGTTTGAAAACTGTGGGCCAAATTGAACTTAAATTATGCTCCGGAAACCATTTTCCGGTTTATGGTAATAGTGAGTTTGACCTTTCATCTTGTGACCCCAAAATCAATAGGGGTCTTCTACCCAATATGGACAATCATCCTATGAAGTTTGAATACTGTGGGCCAAATGGAACTTAAGTTATGCTCCGGAAACCATTTTTAGTATTTAGCTAATAGTGACCTTGACCTTTGACCTCGTGACCCCAAAATCAATAAAGTCTGCTACCTAATATGGACAATCATCCTATGAAGTTTGAATACTGTGGGCCAAATGGAACTTAAGTTATGCTCCGGAAACCATTTTCAGTTTTACGGTAATAGTGACCTTGACCTTTGACTGTGTGACCCAAAAATCAATAGGGGTCTTCTACCAAATATGGACAATCATCCTATGAAGTTTGAATACTGTGGACCAAATGGAACTTAAGTTATGCTCAGGAAACCATTTTCAGTTTTAGGGTAATAGTGACCTTGACCTTTGACCTTGTGACCCCAAAATCAATAGGGGTCTTCTACCGAATATGGACAATCATCCTATGAAGTTTGAAAACTGTGGGCCAAATGGAACTTAAATTATGCTCCGGAAACCATTTTCATTTTTATGGTAATAGTGACCTTGACCTTTGATCTTGTGACCCCAAAATCAATAGGGGTCTTCTACCCAATATGGACAATCATCCTATGAAGTTTGAATACTGTGGGCCAAATGGAACTTAAGTTATGCTCCGGAAACCATTTGCAGTATTTAGCTAATAGTGACCTTGACCTTTGACCTTGTGACCCCAAAATCAATAAAGTCTGCTACCTAATATGGACAATCATCCTATGAGGTTTGAAAACTGTGGGCCAAATGGAACTTAAGTTATGCTCCGGAAACCATTTTCTGGTTTAGGGTAATAGTGACCTTGACCTTTGACCTTGTGACCCCAAAATCAATAGGGGTCTTCTACCCAATATGGGCAATCATCCTATGAAGTTTGAAACACTGGGCCAAATGGAACTTAAGTTATGCTCCGGAAACCATTTTCCGGTTTATGGTAATAGTGACCTTGACCTTTGACCCCAAAATCAATAGGGGCCTTCTACCCAAAATGGGCAATCATCCTATGAAGTTTGAATACACTGGGCCAAATGGAACTTAAGTTATGCTCCGGAAACTGTTTTCAGTTTTAAGGTCATAGTGACCTTGACCTTTGACCTTGTGAACCCAAAATCAATAGGGGTCTTCGTATGGACAATCATCCTATGAAGTTTGAACATTGTGGGCCAAATGGAACTTATGTTATGCTCCGGAAACTGTTTTCAGTTTTAAGGTCATAGTGACCTTGACATTTGACCTTGTGACCCCAAAATAAATAGGGGTCTTCTTCCCAATATGGGCAATCATCCTATGAAGTTTGAATATTGTGGGCCAAATGGAACGTAAGTTATACTCTGGAAACCAAATTGCTAACGGATGGACGGAAGGACGGACGGATAGACAGACGGACGCCAGGGGGTATAACATAATACGACCGAAATTCTTTTGGGCATATAAAAAGAGACCAGTTATCAATAAAAGTAAAACAGTTTTTGAAATGAGGACCAAAACACCAAGTCTATAAAGAAAAAATATTCTTTGCCTTCACTGTGAATTAACAGTATGCTAATACAATTGTATGATAAAGGTGTTAAAAAATTATTTGCCATTAAAAAAAATATTCCACTTGGAACCCAATTGAGGACAGTAAGTACTAAATCACCTGCAACTGAGAGCAGTGTGTAATAAATCACAAGCAAGTGAGAACTCTTTAATTACATAAGAATTATTATTTTTTGTGTAAGAAGAATTTTCACATATCTTGTGCAATGTCAGACGACAGTATGATGTAAAACTAAGTAAGGCCAAAGAAAACAAGCAGTTATCATAGCAAGCAATCCATAAGTCCCCTACCGGTTAGAACCCCAGCAACATTCTGATGGGCCATTGGCCATTCAATTTTACCAGTGAATGAATGGACTTTAAATCTTTTGAGTTCTAAGTTTGTCTATATCACAGTAATGTGTTAAATTTCCCTGCCTAGTAAGGAAATTATGTTTATACAACCTTGTCATATTATTACGATGTGGGATTTTAAATTAAATCCTATAAGGAATGAAGAAGTTGGAGTAAAAAATACCAATTTCTCGAAAAAAAATCAAAGTTCAAGGGGGACATAATTCTGGAAAAAGTCTTGCTAGAGTATTTAACCTTCTCAAAAATGTTGAGTGATAATAAGAAACATATATATGAAGTTTGAAGTAGGTACATTAGGAAATAAAGAAGTTATTGAAAAAAGGCAACATTTTTTTTCATAAAAATTCTAAGTTCAAGGGAGGTAATACTGATAATTTTTGTGCTAATATTGTGCTAGAGTTGTAAACCTTGTCACATATGATGTGGTTGATGACCAGAAACTTATATTTAAAGTTTGAAGTAAACACCTTAAGAAATAAAGAACTTATAGTGAAAAAGGTGAAAAATTTAAATCAGAAATCTTGAAATTCAGGCAATTTGTTGCCATAGCAACCAGAAAGTTCAACATAGGAAGAAAAGAAAAAGATGTGCATAATCTCCAGACTGCCATCTACCCATATTTCATATTTCATAAAAATATTTTCAGTACTTATTGAGTTATCACTGGATCCAGTTTATGTGTTAAATTTGCCATATTTTCAGACTATTTGTTGCCATAGCAACCAGAATTTTCAACATAGGAAGAAAAGAAAAAGACGTGCATAATCTCCATACTGCCATGCCATATTTTCAGACTATTTGTTGCCATAGCAACCAGAATTTTAAACATAGGAAGAAAAGAAAAAGATGTGCAAAATCTCCATACTGCCATCTATCCATATATCAAGTTTCATTAAAATATTTTCAGTACTTATTGCGTTATCGCGGGATCCAGTTTTGTGGACGGACGGACTGACAGACAGACGGATGGACGGAGGGTAAACCTAAAGTCCCCTTCAGTTAAACCGGTAGGGGACTAATAAACATTTAGATTCTCATTGGAATTTTGGATAAGAACTTAGCATGTGGGCACTTTTTTTTATCTTTTCTTATTGAAATAAGAAGGATTTTATATACACTGAAAATAGAAAAAAAGATTGGGTTTTGTTTAAGCATCATGTTCGCTGAAGGGAAAATGTATCTATCAGAGAGGAATCTAACAGTTGGGCGGACGGGGATGAGAATCAGACATATTTTTTTCTATGGCTTAAGTACTGAAAGCACGATCATAATATATAATACAATAATCATTATTATAAATATTCAGCTGTAAAATAAACTCTTGCATTTCTATCAATTGTGAAACTAAAAGTCTAGTAGTTTTCGACTAGTTTAAATATTGGGCCCTGTAAGAAAACAGAATATATGCAAATAAGACAAATACCGTCATATTCATTGATAGCTTCATGGGTTTTAACCTCATCAAGTTTGTTGGTAGACACTTCATTGGTATCAGCTATGTTGCTTATATTTATGTCGTCATTTACATCATCACATTCGACAATATCTACAGTATAAGCAAACAAAAACATGCTATAAGAAATATTCAGGCAACAATTACTATAATTGGGCTATAATGTCATATATCCTATCTCATTTCAAAATATATCAATGGCTCTCTCAAAAAGTGACCAGTTATCAATAATAGTAAAACAGTTTTCGAAATGATGACCAAAACACCAAGTCTATAAAGACAAAAACAATATTCTCTGCCTTCACTGTGAATTAACAGTATGCTAATACATGTATGATAAAGGTGTTAAAAAAAATATTTGCCTATAAAAAAAATATTCCACTTGAAAACCAATTGAGGACAGTAAATACTAAATCACCTGCAACTGAGAGCAGTGTGTAATAAAACACAAGCAAGTGAGAACTCTTTAATTACATAAGAATTATTATTTTTTGAGAAAATAAACATTTAGATTCTTATTGGAATTTTGGATAAGAATTTAACATGTGGGCACTTTTTTTTATCTTTTATCATTGAAATAAGAAGGACTTTATATACACTGAAAATAGAAAAAAAATGATTGGTTCTGTTTATGCATCATGTTCGCTGAGGGGAAAATGTATCTATCATAGACAAAAGACAAATACCGTCATATTCATTGATAGCTTCATGGGTTTTAACCTCATCAAGTTTGTTGTTAGACACTATTACTTGGCAGAAATGATCACCATTATGACATCATTGGCAAAGCACAATAATCAAATCACAACCCTGAAGGTCATGGTCACACTCAAAGGTCCAATGTAAAAACATCTATTCATGTCATGTCAGCTCTATAACTTATTGACAATTCAAAGGTTTTAAAATTACTTGGCACAAATGATCACCACCATGACACAAATCTGCAGAGTGCAACATCCAGGTTGCTACACCCAAAGTCAAGGATTATATGTTCTCCAACTTTTTTTGAACTTATGTAAGATTTAAAATAACTTGGCACAAATAATCACCATTGTGAGAGTTAACAAGAGCCACCTCCGGACGGGGGCAACGCTCGACTTTTGACTTTCTCTAAAAGCAAACAAAGAAATGTTTGAACAAAATCTTTAAATATACTAATTTATACATATTTATAAATAGAAACACGCAATTCTAAAAATTGAAAATTCTATAAATAGAAACACGCAATTCTATAAATAGAAACAAGACTACATGTAGAAATGTGTTGTCACGCCACGAATGCCCCCGCATGCAGCCAAAATTAAAATGTTATAATAACATTTAGTTTTAAACTTGTTGGTACAAAAGATCTTTTTATTTTAAGTTCAAGGCCCTTAAACTATTTAATCTTAACCTTTTTATGGTAGCTTTATACATCATGCTTAAAGTTTTTAAAACATTGCATCTGACAATTCAATTGTTTTGTGAAAATGTTTGTTAAGATGTATGGTCAACTATTACTAAAGCTAGATTGTTTAAGTATTTGACTTGTGGATACCAAATCCCAGGTTTGAATCCCACCTGGGCTTTTGTCCATAATAACTGAATTATATTTGTTGTACTTTTGAGAGAGTTTTTCAATGTATAATTTCTGCAGAAGTATCAGTATCTGCTCTGTCAAAAATAATCCCACAATGGTGCAGTAGTGTAGATCTACAACAATGGAAGGTAGACCTTAAAATTTAATACTTGTACTAAGGACAGACATTATGAAAATACATGTAAATGTCACTGAGCGACAGACATAATATATATCATAAACAGTTTTTCAAAAAGCAAAAACAAAAGAAGCTGTCATTATAAGTTTCAAATTTAATAAAAGAGCATACATTCAAGTCATGTAGTTATATCTTAGATTTTAGCCTGAATGACAACTGCTGTATGGTCAGAATAATATGTTCCAGAGATGTGAACTTCTACTGGCATTGTTGCATTTGCAAAGAGCAGATCTAGTGTCAAGCCATACACTGTGGTAGCTTGTTTGATGTACTGGACATACTGTATGGTATGAAAGTGTTGGACAAGTCTGTTATAAACAGCTGGCATACTTTTTTGATTCACATTAAAGTCACCTAGAACAAATGATGTTGACTTGTTTGATGTTGGAAATAAGTCACTGAGTTTTTGTGTAAATGCCGAGGTAAGAAATGATGGGGATCGATAAAGAAGGACAATGTTGAAAGATACTGTATTTCTTTGCACAGAGACCTCAAGGAGTTCAAAAGCTTCATTACTGATTGATCTTTTAATGCTGATCTTACATATAGAAGGAGTCCATGAGTCTTTGTTTGGTTGTCCATGAAGAGCTCATGGCAATGAAATCCATTAATTTGATGTAAATCATTTTGTCTGATATTTGATTCACATATGCAAATGATATCTGCATTTGAAAAGGCAGGATCAAGAATGATGTCAGGCATACATTCTTTTTAGTCTTTGACATGAAAAAGCTCGCTTCTGCTCGTTCAATTGGTGTTGAATTTTTGGGGAAGGGGTTCAGATCATACTTGCTTTTAATGAGTGTTTCATGCCCTTTTCTCTTACCAATATTGCAATAACTTGGTTGTTATTAGCATTTTTCAAGATGCCAGTTAGTGTACCTTGAGCTCCATTTGATAACCCATCTGCAACATCTAGATTTCTAGTCAACATAATGCGACATCCAAGTTTAAGTTGTAGAACTGAAGTTAATCCACCAGTGAATCTTTGATCTTCTGGAAATTTCCTATTTTTCATTGTTTCAGGAACTATGTCAATTGAATTGATGGATAAAATCTGTCCAGAAAGTTCATCAAGTTTCTGAAGATTATAGTTATCTACTTGCACATATGTTGCAAAGATATGTAAAGTGGATGGAGGTGGAGAGCAATTATTTCTAGTATTCAATGTTTTGATGTCGTCTTCATTGTGTGTGCCATCCCTTACACGACTCAGGAGATTAGCAAAAGGAGCATCATCCTGTTGACAGTTGAACACACAGTTGAGCATATTCATCAGATGGTGGCTGGAAAATGAATTTTTGACATACTGGGGGTAATTGATATAGGTAGAGATATTCCACCAAAATCTAAAGATGACTGAAATATTTCCTGTAAACGTCTGTGAATTTGCAAAAGCAAATCACTTCCTACCATCGATATTTCATCTATTATGATCAAACGGAGTTGTGAATATTTACACCTTAGAGTGTTACGCTTCTCATCTCCAAGTCTGTGATAGCTGGTCTTTGCACTTTGTCCCAATTGAAGTTGTAAAGCAGAGTGGATAGTTAAGCCATCAATATTATGAGCAGCAGTGCCAGTAGGAGCCGTTAAGAGAAACTTAAGTGCGGTAGGATCATCTCCTTCTCGCCAGAATGTTCTGATAACCATTTGATGCAAGGCTCTAATCAGGTGAGATTTTCCCGTTCCTGCACCACCAGTGACAAAGTAATTAAAAGGAGTTTTTATTCTATTAGGGCTTATGAGAAGACTGATGCTCCAATCCAATACTACCTGGAAAAGTTGACGTTGTTTTACATTTAATGACCGGACAATGTTCAGGTACTCGTCCTCTGGTAGCAGAGTAGGCACTGAAGAGTCAGAGCTTATTGGACAATGTGTTATAGTTGTTTCTACTGGTATATTGTCAAACTCTTCTTCAACTAATTGATCAGGATTCAATATCTCATACAGTGGATCTACTTCCACTGCTGATGCAGCAGTATCCATACGCTCTTGTTCGGTCTCTGGAGCAAGAAGATCCCACTCTGTATCTCTTGGACCATTTTCAATAAAGTCTTGTATTGTATTATCTATGAGACTTGCATGATGCTGAAATGAAGATCGAGCAGAAGTAATTTGCTGCAAGACATCTTCATAGTGTTCTTTGTAGCTGTCATACCTTCCAAGTAATTGATCTTCTGTTCTCCATGGAATGTATAAATAAAGTTCTGAGTAATAGTAAGAGTCGGGTTCTCTCAGAATACTAAATTTGTGGTATCTTATCATGGCTTGCTTGCTGCGCTTTTTCATGGTAAAAGTGTCACATTTGGTTTGAATTTGAATAGTATCAGGGGATGAATTCACATCAAACTCTACATGAATACTCTGTTCTTGCAGTTGTAAGTCTGGTTGAATATCATCCTTAGTGTTGCATGAGCTTTTTTTAAATGTAAACACAGAAGCAAAAAGTGCTAAGCACCAATTTTCTAAAGAATGCGGTCTTGCTGCATACTTTTCTTCTAGTCCTGTAACAAAAATATTTTCTTCGTCGCATTCCATCTTCTCAAGCAGATACTTAGGTTTCAGCAACCGAACTCTTTGGTGGGGCATTCCTGTTGGAATCCAAACAATTTGAAAATCAGACTTGTGAAGTGGGAGTCCAAGTACTCTATATACTGCCTCTTGTGCACTTACAGATCGAGCGTCTTGAAAGGACTTGGCACATTTTTTCATTTGTTGCTTTATACCTTGATCAGCTGCTTCTTTACTTACTGCTTGAAGTAATGTTCCCATTTCTCGCTCATCTTTGGTTATATATGCAACAACATATTGGATACATGCATAAGCATTGGAGACAAACTGGATATCCATGTTCGCTTGCCATGCAGAAAGGATAACAGGACTGTAATTGTTAATGAAGATATCAGATGCTGATCGCTTCATAAAAACTGTAACATCCTTGACAGAATTTTTCAATGCATCAATATATTGTTCTTGTGTAATTCTACATTTATGAAATATTTCAGCTGTTGTAAGTAGATGAATGTCCTCAGTTGTGGAGAGAAATTCCTTGACATGGGCTAATACAGACAAAGAAAGCTCCTTTTTGTCCTTAACTTGTTGTGGTGTGAGATTATCATCTTGATCTGATGATCTAGGAGTTGCAACTATTGTTTCTGGTGTAATAGGTTTTGGAAAGTTATACCTGCATGATTTACCATTTTTTCTACAGGATGCCGAATGTGTATGTCTTTGCACTTGATTAACAAGGTCATGTAGATCCTTCTGTTTGTCCTCTGGAGGAAGCTCCGCACTTACATACATGTTGATAAATTTTTCTATTTTTTCTGGTTCACTTTCTTCAGGATTAGGGGCATCTTTTATCCAGAGTACACCATATGCATGAGGAGAGCCCCTTTGCTGAAATTCAATTCTATAAAAAAAATGTTGCACATGTCCCAGGGGTTTTGCATCTGAGAGCACAACATTTTTCATGAGACAGTCCAACCGGTATTGGAAATGTCTTGCTGCTGTTACTGGGTTTGATCGTAACCAGGAACACTTTTCCTCCCAAGTCATATTGGTAATATCTTCTTGTGACAATGTGGTTCCCCTCTGAGATGCAATTGCTTGAATGGTATCAATCCATTTTAAGTCAGCAGCAGATAATGTGAAAAACCATGTAAAGATTCCTAGTTGTTTAATTGCAGCTAACAGTTTATATTGAACTTTCTGCCAATAGGGAGGGGATCCTCTTACTGGTTGAAGAAATCTATAACCTTCATCACGAAATATGCATGACTGCAATGTTTCACTGTTTCGCACAATTTCAGCAGTTATATTCTGATTGTCTGGTGTGCTTTTAAATGATTTCCTTAGAGCAATGTTCATGCTGTCAAATATCTGCTTAGCTTCAGTGATTGATAAGGCTGCAAACAGATATTCAATATCTGCTGCAAATGTCTGTTGTTCATTTAATAATCGTTGCCAGAAATAATTCTTAGCGGATAATTTAACAGGTCTAGTATAATTCCAGCCAAATTTTCCATATGGGAGGAGATGAGGGAAAGCATATTCCTCAAAATGTTCATCCATTAAAATACTGATAGGTCTCTTGCCTTCACCAGGAGATATGTTTATTATATTGTCAATTGTAGCAGAAGGATCGGTTTGCTGGATACATGTCATATTGTATGCCTCTCAATTTAGATACAGGATCATCTGTGTAGTCATCTTCTATAGTATCTTGATCTTTTTGAGTATACATTTTGTTATTTTCAATTCTTTGTATTTGTGAAATACAGTTTTCACTTCCATGCACTTGTTCGCCTCAGCCTTGCATATTTTGAATTTGCCTTCCATCACTTTCAGTTGTTTGTAATTGTCCATCTTTATTTCCCATTCCATGTATATCTGTCCCACTTTTTCTTTGCATTTGTCCATCTTTGTCTTCTATCTCCTGTATTTGTTCATCATTGATTTTCGGGTTTACCTCTGTTGATGGCAACTGAGACTGTAAACAGATATTATCATCAGGTTCAGTAAGATCCTTCCATAGTTCAGAATCTTCAGCATTACATTTATCTATCCAATCACACGCATATTCAGAAGATTGGTACAAATGATTATTTACCATTTTGTCTTGTAACTGAATTAACATTTTTGATTCTTCAGCTTTCTTGAGTCTAACAAGTCTCTGTGATAGAGTGTTTCTTTTTTGAAGTTCTTTTTTTTCAAACGCATTCATAACTGATCTGTGATTTAATTTTTGAGCCCTATCCTTTGCTCTGTATTCCTGGTTTGATAATTCACTTCCTTTCTCTGAGTCGTCTTTGAGCTACTGTATTCTTCTTGACGGACTCACCATTTCCTGGGTCTTTCATAGTCTGAACATCATTAAAGTTTCTTGCAAAGTATATCCTTGATTTCTATTTGTTGAAATATGCTCAACAGATTTATCATCTGATGTGAGGTATTTCGTTTGAAAACAACTTTCTGTTAAGATGGGTGCTGCCGTTGAATATATTGTTTGATGTGGAGCAGGTACTTTGCTTATTTTAGCTAGAGTTGGAAAGTTAGTGAGAACACCACTTTTCAAGCAGTGTTTGATTGAGGAACACTATACTGAATATTATTAAGATGCACTGTAGGGTATATTAGTCGTAACTGTGGAAGGGCATCTTTTATATGTTGTATGTTATAAATACTATCATACAGGAATATTCGCTTGTTTCTTTGAGCAGACACAATATAATGTGATGGAATATAATGTATTTGAACACATTCCACATCTGATGGAACAGTAAGATCTTGCTTTTGGTATCTAGAAATGGCACTGTAGTAGAGACTTGATGGAGTTATCAATCCATACTGTTGGTGATATTGGGTCTTAAGCAGTAGCGAAGCATAATCCAAGACTTGAATGTCGAGTTCTCCATGCAGAACTGACGATGGGTCTAATCCACAAAAAGACGCCTCAGATACTCCAAAATGAAACAAGAGGGCCATGATGGCCCAAAGTCGCTCACCTGTATATAGGCCCCAGTTTAAACCACAGGGCTTTTATTTGAACAAACTTGGTTGTATATGTATGTATGTATGTATGTATATATATATATATATTATATATATATATATATATATATATATATATATTATATATATATATAATATGTATATATATCTATCTATCTATATATATATACATATATATATATACATACATATAAATGCAATATATATATGTAAGTTTGTTCAAATAAAAGCCCTGGGGTCAAAATTGGCCCCGCCCCGAGGGGTCATTGATTTTTGCTTATATGTGTATGGCAAAAACTTAAAAATCTTCTTTGAAAAAACCCAAATAGCTAGAGTTTAGATATTAAGCATGAAAGAAGATTTTATATAAGATTTTAGAAGAAGATTTTTTAAGTTTTTACTATATACATATAGGGAAAATCAATGACCCCCTGGGGCAGGGCCAATTTTGACCCCAGGGCTTTTATTTGAACAAACTTTGTAGACACTCACTAGAAAATGTTTCATGCCAAATATCTTAGCATTAGCTCTTTGGGTTCTATAATAGAAGATTTTTTAAGTTTTTACTATATGCATATAGGGAAATCAATGACCCCCTGGGGCGGGGCCAATTTTGACCCCAGAGCTTTTATTTGAACAAACTTGGTAGACACTCACTAGAAGATGTTTCATGCCAAATATCTAAGCTCTAGCTCTTAGGGTTGTTTAAAAGAAGATATTTAAAGATTTTTCTTTCGGTTGCCATGGCAACCAGAGTTCTGCATGGAATTAAATTCTTTGAACAATTTTTAAAGGTGACCACCAAAGGAACATTCCTGTGAAGTTTGGATGAAATTGGCTCAGTGGTTTATGAGGAGATGTCATTTAAAGCAAAAGTTTACGGACGGATGCCGGCAGGACGCCGGACGAAAAGTGATCACAAAAGCTCACCCTGTCACTTTGTGACAGGTGAGCTAAAAACCTATGACCCCCCGGGGCGGGGCCAATTTTGACACTAGGGACAAAATTTGAACAACTTTGGTAGAGGACTCATAGATGATACCATATACCAAAAATCAAAGCTCTGGCCCATGTACTTTCAAACAAGAAGATTTTTTAATTTTGTGTTTTTTGAAATCCTTTTCTGGCCCTATGACCTACATATGCAACAGACCGGAACCATTTGAACAACTTTGAAAGGGGACCACCCAAGGATCATTTCTGTAAAGTTTGGTTGATGTGCAGTCATTGGTTTCAGAGGAGATGTTGTTTATGTTAAAAGTTGACGACGCACGACAGACACAGGGCCATCACAATAGCTCACCCTGAGCATTGCTCAGGTGAGCTAAAAACAAGAGAATTATTATTGTATATTTTGAAAGGTCACATGGAAAAAACTTTTGGTTCTCATAAAATCAATCTATAAAATATGATTAAACATTTTCATTGCACTGCTTTGAAAACCTATAGAAACACATTTTACATAGACGAATTAATAATCAAAAGAAATATCAGTGTGAAAATAAAGTATAGTACAGGAATATTTCAAAGGTCATGTACCTGCTCAATAGATTTCTGTGAAGGAACAGGCATTGTGTCCTTCTCTGTGGTGCATGGTTCAGGTCTATGCAAGGAGGCTGTGGTCTGGAATAGGTTATGTATATGTAAGTATTAAATTAAAACATGTGATATGCATTGCTAATAAATATTTCAATAGAAAAAATCAAAAAAGAGAGGAAATCAAGATTTTAGTTTTTACGTACCTGTTTAATAGATTTCTGTGAAAGAGGAAGCATTGAGTCCTTCTCTGTGGTCCATGGTTCAGGTCTATGCAAGGAGGCTGTGGTCTGGAATAGGTTATGTATAGGTAAGTATTAAATTAAAACCTGTGATATTGTTGCTTATTAATATTTCAATAAAAAGAGAAAAAAAATCAAGATTTTAGTTTTTACGTACCTGTTCAAAAGATTTCTGTGAAAGAGGAAGCATTGTGTCCTTCTCTGTGGTCCATGGTTCAGGTCTATGCAAGGAGGCTGTGGTCTGGAATAGGTTTGTATAGGTATGTAGGTATTTAATCAAAACATGGTATGTGTATTATTAACAAGAGGGCCATGATGGCCCTGAAATCGCTCACCTGTATATAGACCCCTGGGCCAATGCCAATTTTAAACCAGGGACTTTTATTTGAACAAACTTGGTAGACAGCCATTAGAAGATGTTTCATGATAAATATCCAAGCTTTAAATCTTTGGGGTTTTTATGAGAAGTTTTTTAAAGTTTTTACAATATACATGTAGGAAAAAAAATGACAACCCCCCCCCCCCCGGGAGGGGCCAATTTTGACCTCAGGGCTTTTATTTAAACAAACTTGGTAGACACTTAATAGACAAGAACCGGTTGAACCGGGTGATGCTCCCCGAGAAGGTTCTGGACACAGGAAAGTATAAAAAAAATGAACAAAGGGCAATAATTCCAAAAATAGACCAGGCTTTGTTTAGGTTCTTGAAGCGTTGCAGTTCTATCCAATTATATCTAGCTACCTACAAAGTTTCATGTTGATATCTCTAATAGTTTTAAAGTAATGTCCAGGACAAAAGTCAAAAAGTAAAAATAATAAACAAAGGGCAATTACTTCAAAATAAGGCAAGGCAGAGTAATGATTCTTAAGCACTGCACTTCCACCCAATGAGACCTATCTATCTACAAACTATCTAAAAATAAACAAAGGGGGATAATTCAAAAATTAGGCAAGGCAGAGTTAAGGTTCTTGTTCACTGCACACCTACTCAATGAGATCTATCTACCTACAAAGTTTCATGTTGGTACCTCTTATACTTTTAGAGTTATGTCCCGGACAAAGTTCAAAGTGTAAAATAAACAAAGGGGGATAATTCAAAATTTAGACAAGGCAGAGTTACAGTTCTTGTGCACTGCACACCTACTCAATGAGATCTATCTACCTACAAAGTTTCATGTTGATATCTCTTATATTTTTAGAGTTATCACCCGGACAAAGTTCAAAGTGTAAAATAAACAAAGGGGGATAATTCAAAAATTAGGCAAGGCAGAGTTACGGTTCTTGTGCACTGCACTTCTACTCAATGAGATCTATCTACCTACAAAGTTTCATGTTGATACCTCTTATACTTTTAGAGTTATGTCCCGGACAAATTTCAAAGTGTAAAATAAACAAAGGGGGGTAATTCAAATATTAGGCAAGGCAGAGTTTCGGTTCTTGTGCACTGCACACCTACTCAATGAGATCTATCTACCTACAAAGTTTCATGTTGATACCTCTTATACTTTTAGAGTTATGTCCCGGACAAAGTTCAAAGTGTAAAATAAACAAAGGGGGATAATTCAAAAATTAGGCAAGGCAGAGTTATGGTTCTTGTGCACTGCACTTCTACTCAATGAGATCTATCTACCTACAAAGTTTCATGTTGATACCTCTTATACTTTTAGAGTTATGTCCCGGACAAAGTTCAAAGTGTAAAATAAACAAAGGGGGATAATTCAAAATTTAGACAAGGCAGAGTTACGGTTCTTGTGCACTGCACACCTACTCAATGAGATCTATCTACCTACAAAGTTTCATGTTGATATCTCTTATACTTTTAGAGTTATCACCCGGACAAAGTTCAAAGTGTAAAATAAACAAAGGGGGATAATTCAAAAATTAGGCAAGGCAGAGTTACGGTTCTTGTGCACTGCACTTCTACTCAATGAGATCTATCTACCTACAAAGTTTCATGTTGATACCTCTTATACTTTTAGAGTTATGTCCCGGACAAATTTCAAAGTGTAAAATAAACAAAGGGGGGTAATTCAAAAATTAGGCAAGGCAGAGTTACGGTTCTTGTGCACTGCACACCTACTCAATGAGATCTATCTACCTACAAAGTTTCATGTTGATACCTCTTATACTTTTAGAGTTATGTCCCGGACAAAGTTCAAAGTGTAAAATAAACAAAGGGGGATAATTCAAAAATTAGGCAAGGCAGAGTTACGGTTCTTGTGCACTGCACTTCTACTCAATGAGATCTATCTACCTACAAAGTTTCATGTTAATATCTCTTATACTTTTAGAGTTATGTCCCGGACAAATTTCAAAGTGTAAAATAAACAAAGGGGGGTAATTCAAAAATTAGGCAAGGCAGAGTTACGGTTCTTGTGCACTGCACACCTACTCAATGAGATCTATCTACCTACAAAGTTTCATGTTGATACCTCTTATACTTTTAGAGTTATGTCCCGGACAAAGTTCAAAGTGTAAAATAAACAAAGGGGGATAATTCAAAAATTAGGCAAGGCAGAGTTATGGTTCTTGTGCACTGCACACCTACTCAATGAGATCTATCTACCTACAAAGTTTCATGTTGATACCTCTTATACTTTTAGAGTTATGTCCCGGACAAATTTCAAAGTGTAAAATAAACAAAGGGGGGTAATTCAAAAATTAGGCAAGGCAGAGTTACGGTTCTTGTGCACTGCACACCTACTCAATGAGATCTATCTACCTACAAAGTTTCATGTTGATACCTCTTATACTTTTAGAGTTATGTCCCGGACAAAGTTCAAAGTGTAAAATAAACAAAGGGGGATAATTCAAAAATTAGGCAAGGCAGAGTTATGGTTCTTGTGCACTGCACACCTACTCAATGAGATCTATCTACCTACAAAGTTTCATGTTGATACCTCTTATACTTTTAGAGTTATGTCCCGGACAAAGTTCAAAGTGTAAAAATAAACAAAGGGGAATAATTCAAAAATTAGGCAAGGCAGAGTTACGGTTCTTGTGCACTGCACTTCTACTCAATGAGATCTATCTACCTACAAAGTTTCATGTTGATACCTCTTGTTGTTTCAAAGTTATGTCCCGGACAAGAAAAGGGGACGGACGGACGGACGGACGGACGGATGGACGGACGGACGGACAAGGCGGCGACTATATGCTCCCCCGAAATTTTTTCGGGGAGCATAAAAATATTTCAAACTTAGTATGTAAACTCTAGCTCTTGGTTTTTTAAAAGAAGATTTTTTAAGTTTTTACACTCTACAAAATAATAAGAAACAATCCTGGGGCTGGGCCAATTTTTACCCCAGATCTTTTATTTGTACAAACTTGGTAGAAATTCACTAGGAGATGTTTCATGCTTTATATCTAAGCTCTAGCTATTAGGGGTTTTTAAAAGATTTTTTTAAGTTTTTACTATATACAAATAAGGAAAATCAATGACCTCCCAGGGCTGGGCCAATTTTGACCCCAGGGCATTGATTTGAACAAACTTGGTAGACACCCACTAGAAAATGTTTCATGCCAAATATTTAAGCTCCAGCTCTTGCGGTTTTCTAAAAGAAAATATTTTAAGTTTTTACTATATACAAATAAGGAAAATCAATGACCCACCAGGGCAGGGCCAATTTTGACCCCAGGGCTTTTATTTGAACAAACTTGGTAGACACTGACTAGGTGATGTTTCATGCCAAATATTTTAGCTCTAGCTCTTGCGGTTTTCTAAAAGAAGATATTTTAAGTTTTTTCTTTCGGTTGCCATGGCAACCAGAGTTCTGCTTGGAATTAAATTCTTTGAACAATTTTTAAAGTTGACTACCAAAGGAACATTCCTGTGAAGTTTGGATGAAATTGGCCTAGTGGTTTATGAGGAGATGTTGTTTAAAGTAAAAGTTTACAGACGGACGGACGCCAGACGAAAAGCGATCACAAAAGCTCACCATGTCACTTTGTGACAGGTGAGCTTAAAATATTTAAGTGATGCAGGAATAGACAAATAATGAGAATTCCATTGTTTATGTGCAAGGATATGCTTAGTTTACTTCTGTTTGTATGTACCTGAACCTTCAGTTAATAACCTTGATCACTAGGATAGTTTTATGAAGAATGTAATACTTGCATGTTGTTGTTTTCGTAGTTTATCATCCGTCTTTTTCTGCTTGTATGATCTTTTCTTTAATTTGGGCATTATGAATGAGCTCTGAAAAGAAATCTTTATTTGTAATAACACAACAACATTCATACATATAACATGCTATTGTCTAAACCATATGTCAAAAACATAAGAGATTTGTTTTAAAAAAAACCATAACATTTAAAAAAAATTTAAATGAAAAATGTTATATTTTAATGATGTATTGTTGAAGGGAATCAGAATTGAAATTTGTAATAACATAAAAAGCACGTGGAAATAAGCAATATCCTTTTGTTCAAAGCAGGTATGAAAAAGATTATAAGATAATAAGGACATGCTTTAAACAAAATAGTGCTATTTCAGCCTGACATAATGTCAGATAGTCTATTTTTTAAGTGAGCTTTCATTATTGTCTATGTCCTTAGTATGTGCTTAGCATTCTTCTAATGCATTATCTACAGTAATTTAGTTTTCCCAACATGTTATACAAAAGTTGTTCTATTGCAATAGAGCTACCTAAATTAATATGAAATAATTACAAATGTCTTTGAGACTGCAACTTCATAATAGAGGCTGAAAAAATAATGCTGAATAGAAAATATGTAACAGCCCCAAAAGAAAAGGGGGACATGAGCTCTTAAGACATAACCTCTGAAATAATAGACAACATATTAATAATAATGTCTGAAAGTAAAATTATGAACCCAGATAGTCAACCTGGAAAAGAAATTTTTGTAGATGAAGCAGTGCTTACAAAAATGAATTTATCAGTGCACTACAATCAAACACAAATGTGAAAGGTAATCGGAATTCTTGCTGTACAGTTATTGATGATAGAAAGTGTGTTAAATGAACACACAAATTACACATACAAAAAGATTTTTCTATATTTAGCTCTGGCGGCAATTTTGTGCAGCTAAGCCGAAATGCTGGTGCACAACTAGGGATGGTACTGATCACTCCTACAAAGTTTTATTGAAATCCCACCAGTAGTTTGACCTGTCAAGGCCTGACAAGATTTTTATATTTTCAGCTGTGGCGGCCATTTTGTGCAGCTAAGCGGAACGTGCCGTTGCACAACTAGAGATGGTCCTGATCACTCCTGCAAAGTTTTGTTGAAATCCCACCAGTAGTTTGACCTATGAAGGCCAGAAAAATTAATAAATAAATAAATAATTTATTCATTTATTTATTTAATAAAGAAATAAATAAATAAATTAATTAATTTAATTAATTAATTGAAAAAAAATAAACTGGTGATATTCTAAGTTCATAAAAGGCCATAAATCACTCGAAAACCCTGGAGTTATGAGTCTCTAGAGTGATTGCAAATTCTGGTCTGAAAGACAAGTATTAA